AAAAAAAAAAACAATGACAGGTACTGAAAAACATATAATGACGCATAACAATTACTTCTTCGCGCATGCTCACCGTGTGACAACTTATCCCGTCTCAATTTGAGTCAACTTATCCCCCAAACGTTCATTTTATAAATAAAAGATATTATATTTATAAACTGCAATGCGATGATGCATTAAATAAATATAGGAAAACTCTTATTTAAAACCACCATATTTCCTATACATAAGATAAAATTGCAATTAGAAATTTTAAAACCAGTGAAATTACTAAAGAATCGAGATCAGAAAAATCTACTTACCATATCCAGTTTTACAAAAGTGCTCGTAAATATCATATATAATTAAATAAGTGATAAATGAGGTGTGACCCCCTGCTCCTTTTGGTAACTCCAATAAATTGAATCAATTAGCAGGGCAATAATGAGCCACAGCAGGATGTTGTGCCGTAGAAAAAATTAAAAAATGTAATTGAGACGTTTCGACTTTATTTTGATAAATGAAATTACTTCATTGTCTGTAATTGTTTAACTGTTTTTGAATTTCGTAATGTTGAGTTATACTGACTAAATTTGACAACTCTATGATTAACATGTAAAGATATGTGTATATAGCTTCAAGAATTTTTAATAAACAAAGGTATTATGGCTATTGAAGCAAACACAGATGTGTGAATAGTTGAATCAATTTATTGAAACTTAGTGCAAAACGTTTTTTTACTACAGTAATTTAAATGCATTGAGAAAGACTTAATACAAGGTCGAAAACGTTTTGCACTAAGTTTCAATAAATTGATTCAACTATTCACACATCGACATCTGTGTTTGCTTCAATAGCCATAATATCTATGATTAACGATTGATAAGAACTTCAAAAATAAAGTCGAAACGTCTCAATTACATTTTTTAATTTTTTCTACGGCACAACATCCTGCCATGGCTCATTATTGCCCTGCTAATTGATTTAATCATATATAATGTTTTTAAACAAAGTTTTTTCGTACACTCGTTACTAACACAACTAGTAGCAACTTGCAATAAAAAGAAGAATATTTTCCAAGATTTAGTAAGCAAGATAATAGCAGTTCGACTAACTAACCCCATGTCACAACTAGCCCCGGTCTCCCCTGTATGTGTAAAAAAATGTATCAGAATAAGTAGTTTTTATCGCACGTTTATTTATTCCGCTACACAATTAAAAATACATTGAGTGTACAAATTTTTTTTCAACTATTACGTCAAAGTAAACACCGTTATCTGAGAAAAGTATATACTTACGCAATTTCGAACTTAAAATACTCGAACGCGTCAACGTTGTTGTGTCGTCAGCACCGTGTGTGAAAGAACTGCAACATCGTTTTAACAACTGTGTGTAAAGAAATGTGAAATTGCGTTCACGTTCTGTTGGGGGAATGTCAAAGTAGTTTGGAATGTCGGACCCTTTTCAACGGAAAAAAAAAGTTTAGCACATTTACTAGTAATAGAATATCAAATTGCGCGTTTAAACTTTTACCGTCCTTCTGCGTACGTATAGGCATCGGAGACGCATTACTTTTCCCTAAAAGTTATCGAATAACAATGAGATAGAAAATAATGTCGCAGTGCGCGTTTTTTCTGCAAAATTGCAACAAACTGCACAAAATACAGCGATCTCGCGTGGATTCGAACGAATTGAGGGAGAACGTCGGAGGAGTTGCAACAATAACGAAGCAATTCGTCGAGCCGCATCTTTAAACATGCATGTGCTTCGATGCGACGCCAGTTGCACCGTTGCTCACGTGCTCGCGAGAATCAATAGCTATCCGAGGAAATGGGATGAACGCGAAGGCGCGAGATAAGCCCGTAACATCGCGAGAGCGTTACACGTCGACGTCGCGGGGATCGCGACTAATGAACACATAGAGTATTAATGCTTAATTATCTCGTTGAGCGCCATTTTAAAGATGCACGTCCGCGCGATCAGTCGGAAATCGCGCGCGATCTCCGCAGAATGGCGACCGCGAGCTGGAACGAGGATGTCGCTTACGCGTTGTCGAGCTACAAAATTCTGGCGTGGACCGTGGGAGCCTGGCCGATCGAGGATGACACCTTTTACTCGAGAATGCGCTGGCTGTTCGCGATCGCGAGCGAGGTAAACACACACACACACAAAATTATTGTCAATACAAGGTACTTCTCCGGAAAAAAAAAAAAATTAAAATATAACACGCGTAAATTTTATATATAATTTATAA